AAAAATAACAGTCCTATAAATCTGTTTTATTCTGAAACACATGTAGGCAAAGTTTATACAACAGCAAATCTAAGAAATGTCAAACATGTTTATGGTACAGTTTTATAGAATTCTGAGTATTTGTGGCCAAACGTATACGTGGCCTGGTTTTGAAAATCATACTTATTTTGGTTTGCAGTTGCACGGTTCTGTTTCGTTCATGTTTGTTGACGTCTGGATGTGGAGAAGAAGGGAAAAGTTCCTCCGAGTCGAGCCGACACGGCTCCAGTTAGAACCACAAGATCTTCATACGGGAGTCAGCTGATTCAGCCTCGGACCCTTGGAGAGCCGAGCTGTGACTCTGTGCCTCTCAGACACCGACGTTTGTGAGCAACTCCGAGTATCTCAGAGATCACATGCAGATGTGCGTGAGTGGTTTAAAACAACTTCACCGCAGCGACGCGGACAGAGAAACGACACAATCCGTTTGCCGTCGGTAATGAAAGAAATGCTTGTTGGTTACGTAAGAATCAGGAATGCAGGATGAAAGGAATGGAAAATCCTTCCTCTTAAATGTTTTTATTTAATCTCTCCCTACAGGCATTTAGTAAAACCCTAAAACCTCCAGAATTGTTTCATCAAAATAATTCTCTCCTGTTATAAAACGACTTGGTGTAACTCTACACCTTTTTCTCATCTATGCACGGACCTGAAGATATTCAAATAAGTGCTGATCTGTCCTCTGCTCCCCTCGCGGCGGCCCGACTCTGTGGTTTGATCGGTAAAATAAAAGGTTGTTAAAGTTAAACAAATCGGATTTTACAATCCCGACCAGTCGTTCCTTCTGGATGATTAAATTAATTCATTGTTTGTCCTATTATTGACAAGAACACACCTAAGATCATTTAACCTTTCTGATTAAACATCTGGCCTTGCTTACACAAAGCCTGAATATAGTTTTTAATAGGAAAGTTACATAAGTTGGCATCAAATGTTTATTATGTTTTGTTTTTCAGCGTACTTGTCAGGTTTCATTTTCGAACTGGTTTCAGATGAATTTCTGAGATCTCATTCTTTTCTTTTCCTCTACGCTCTGACACCTGATGATTCACGAGAAGGTGCTTCCAATTTGACAACAAATTATGATAAATCAACAACTGTCCTGGTTATGTTTAATTGAATTAAAAACACAACAATATTCACCATTTCGCGTTTTTTCTTACCCATTTCTTCGCGGCGCAGTGAAAGCGATTAACGTTTAAACCCTTTCAGTGATTCGTACATGCCATTGATAATTGTAGGTTGGTCTTAAAGAAACGACGATCGTAAACCTGACAAGTAAAAACTGTTACTAATGTTTCGTTACACCAGCAGTTTGTTTCATGGGTTCAGTGCTAAAAAAAACCTGTTCAGTGGAATTCATCTTGAACCTGTTTCCAGTGAAGAACACCTCACGCCTCGCCGTCAGGAGATTGTCGACCTTTGCAAACGGTTTAGTTTAGCTGCATGTTTGGCTGCAAACGACCTGAAGCATTTTCACACTTCCACGTGTCAGACACTCAGAGTTTGTTTGAGGAGATAAATTAGTGAAATTTGGGATTATTGACAACACAAACGACAAAAAACAAAACAAAACAGGTTTTTATTCATGCATGACTCTTTTTGTCTCAACTGTTTACTTGTTAATGTAGATGGACTTGTCTGTTGCTGGATAAGTTGGACTCTGGAAAGGTCAGCAGGGCAGTATCTCACTTTCCTTAGATCTCACCTCTTCTGACATCACTGTAATCTCTTTGTGTTGGTCAGTAGAACAAGTCTGGATTATCATGATGGGATTAGACACTGATAACACTTGGCTACTCACAGACTATAGTATTTGTTGCTGTAGCGTAGTTGTCTGAGCAGATAGCAGCTTCTCCACGTGGAGATGTCTGGTTGTTTGAATTGGCTGACATTTCCTCACATCTTGGCTGATCTTCAGTCAGTTTGAGTCACTGATTGAAATCAATATTTTGTTTGCGCCACTAGTTACTTATTTATAAAACTTGTATAATGAAACTGTTTAAAAAAGGCTCTTCTTGAACTTTGATCATTTTTATTACAGCTCATTGTTTTGTAATCTACAGGTTATGTTTTCGCTCTTGATGACTTTTATTTTGTCTGTATAAACCCTGCATTTTCACCAACTACATGACTTTTGTTACATTTTCCCCTTCAGCAGCTGAATTGTAGTGGAGATATAAAAATAGCKGCAACCAGATGGAGAGGACAGCTGTTTTCTTGGCAGCTGTCTGGAGAACCCCTCCCACATAAAACCATCGGTGACCCATGCGGGTCACTAGACCCTAATTTAGCCACAACTGCGTTAAAGCTGTCAGTGTAAAGCCTCTGTGGACCCTGACACCGTGTCTTTCAGTCCTGCGTTTTGGGGGAATATTTTGTCTGCGACCCACCGTGACATTCCTGGCAGGAACAACAAATCTTGGGAGAGTTTTAGATTGAGTCGAGAAAGGGCGAGGGAACAAGAGAGTCTTAAAAAAACTGCACGCAGACGTTAAAACAGGAGTTGTATTTTTTATTTTTATTTAGTTTATATAAAAAATGTTTGTTTTGACGAACATTCAGTCTCCTCTTGTAGATTGAACTGACTGGTTTCACAAAAGAGAAATGAAGCTCATGATATGAATATTCTACATGAAACAACGCAGATACGTGGAAAAAAATTAGTGTAGATGCTAACTTTACATTGACAACACTATAGGCATGCTAACACAGTTAGCATTGTGTTTATTGCTGGAAATTTATCCACAAATCGAACATTTCCGAATCATAATAAAAGACTGATAATTTCAGCTATCACTGAGACTTCCTGTGTTATGTAACAGTAGCTGCGTTTCCATTGACCATAAAAATGCGCAAATTAGAATTTTGAAAATAAATTGCCGAGGATAATTCCACAACCTGGTTCAAACGAAGAGTGATGTCGGAGCATATTACTGCTAAACTAAGGCTGTCAGAGACTAGAGTCCACTAACTCTCTCAGCTTAACTAACCATGGAAACAGGCCAATTTTGAGAAAAAAAAAACGTTTTTCGACAATGTTTTTGTGCTAGGATGAGGTGGTTTTTCGGCCGTATCGAAATTGGTGTTTTTCGCAAAACTGCAATGGAAACACTTTTTTCGCATCATGAGAGTCACGTGATTAACAACTGGTTGTTTCTACTGGTGAAAAAGACGATGAAGAAGAAGATAACWGGAAGTAGAAGTAGAAGTAATATCACAGAAGTAGTATAAAATAGTAAACTCACCGACTACAATTTCCCAAAAACACAGCATACGTAGCCGCTCCCAAGTAGGGACTTGTCTCTGGAAAGCCTYGATAAAAGACGCCGACGTCTCCTCTGATGATGAGCGCTAGTGTCGTGGTAGCAACATGCTATGTGTTTACATCCATCGCCGCCATGTTTGTAATGACTTATCGTGAGAACAAACGTATTCACGTGACTTTAATAACATTTCTTACTTAATGGAAACACCGCAGTTGCGAAACTGTTTTTTTTACATTAACAGAAAATCGACAAAGTTTTGCGCACATTTGAAATGGAAACGCAGCTAGTGAGTTACTGATTGTTTCATCATTTCATTTAAGACTGATTATTTTAACCACAAAATTTGTTTGTTTGAAAAACATTCAGCGTCTCTCCGATAGAGTTCCTGTTAAATAGCTTTATTTTACTCTGACTGTGCCTCACATTAAACGTTTTGTTCCAGCCCACCTGCAGCATTTCATCACAGCCGTGTTAAATCCCTGCAGTTCAACCTGACAGTCCCATGCTGTGTGCATGTCTGGCTATCTGCAGAAAGGCGACGGAGGGGGCGGGAGGCGACGCAGCTACCGGCTTCAGCGGGCGGCATACAGCTAAGAGGCTAATGATGTTGTGTTGGGGGTTAAATCGGTATTATCCTCTCGTCGGTGGACCGGCAGAGGCTGAAGACGAACAGGGTGACTGGGTTCGAGAAAACATTGAGAGAAAGAGAGAAATTCTCCACTCCAAAACGGTTTTCCTGCATTTTTGATTTAATTCCCCTCGCAGCAGCAGCTGTTGCTCACAGATGCTCCTCAAGGTCAGAGCCTGCAGCGCCAACCAGCCTTAGATTACATAATCAATCAGCTGCTTTAAAAAAAAAACGCAGATACCAGAGCAGCTTTTATTCCCTAAAACTCAGCACCGGAAGATACTTTTATTAAAAGTCTGCCAGGAGAATAAAATCATCTCCTTGAGCTTATGTTTTTATTTTTTATTACTTATAATGAAAGGATTATTGTTCACTCAGCTCACACCAGGTAGCATTCCTAAAAATTCCAACATTATTGTCCCAATTATACCAATTATACCTATTAAAACATGCCTCTTTAATTGTTCAGTCTTTCCTCATCCACTCTGTTTTTGCTGTAAATTTATCATCTCACCTGTCGGTTAGGTCTTCTGGGTCGTCTCGGTGAAGACTAAAACATCACAACTATCAGCTAATTTTCACGCAGTTCAGATTGATTTTTCAGAGAAACATCGGCCGGGCCACTTTAATCCTCATTCTGTGACCTTCAAGCGAGGTCACGCGCAGAGCTGCATTGATTTGTTGAATAAGAGATTAGTCAGCAGATTATTATAGATGGAGCCGTGAAGTGAAGGAGAAACCAGAAGCATTCACGGTCGTGGGAGATCTGGAGATGTTCTGCTGCTTCTCTAAGGGCAGAAGATCTCTGCGAATCAATACGCCGTCGTTCTGATGCTTTATCCTTTTGATTAAACAGATGTTTCCTCAGGATGTTGGTCTTTTTTTATAACAGTTCCTCCGACAATAGAGCCTCTCTGAATAATTGAAGCGAGAGCATGATGTGAAATTTATTCTGTTTTTAAACTCTACTGGAGGCCTTTGAGAAAAGAAAACTCTGAACTTAAACTTCTTTGGTATATAAGTGCAATAAATGTACTTTTTTTTTTTCTCTTTGCTGTTTGCAGGCCAGTTATCCCACCTGGGAGGACTTTGTTTCCAAAGGGGCCAAGCTGCAGTCCCATCTCAGGTAGGAGACTAAATAAAATGTTTTAGCTTAGATGGTAAACCATGTGTGGATCAATAACACCTGGTCAATCAATTAAAACAGTCACATTTTTCCTCTTTTATGTGTTTATTTTTACCAGAGGCACAAGCAGTAGTGACCCAGTGTCTGGTTCAGAGTAAGAAAAGTAGAGTTTGTATTCCCTTTGGGTCAATTTATGTGATAAACATCTCTCTGCCTTCTGCAGGCTGTTACAGTCCATTAGCCCTGCCAGTCAGCCAGCAACATGCTTACAAACTGCACATTAAAATGCAAATAAAACCTTACTTTCAGGTTTATTAGTTCCCTAAATCACCACAAAAATCACCTGGCTCTGCACATAGGAAGCATTCAAATGACATTAATCATTTTAGCACCTTCACACTGACGAGCAAGAGCCTCGGAGAATAATATTCATGTCGTACATCATCCCGTTATTTGGAGCAATAATGTATTTATTTACATTTGGGTAAAACCAACACTTCATCTATCAAACTTTCATGGTAAAAGATCAAAAATCTACTATATTTCATTCTTCAGCTGGCCATTCTTATCACAACATGTAGAGTTTTAATTATTCAATCACCTTTTTCATCTTTTTTTTATTGCATTTTATTTTAAAGTTAAATTTCTAGTTGTGTTTAAGAGTCGAGTTCTTTTCTTCTTCTTCTGAAAAAGAGTTTCCACTGAAGTCAGACACACAGTTATTCCCCATGAAAACGAAGGATCAGGTGACGCTGCTGTCAGTCGTCTATGTGTGTGTGTGTGTGTGTGTGTGTGTGTGTGTGTGTGTGTGTGTGTGTGTGTGTGTGTGTGTGTGTGTGTGTGTGTGTGTGACAGGAGCAGGGACCTGGCTGCTAAAAGACACACACAGACAAAAGGTCCATTAATGGACATTGTGTGTGCGTCTGAAGGTTTCCAGTTGCACTCC